ATTGGAATTTCTATGTTCTGTGCCAACCCATCGGGCCTTTGGTGTTCGGCCTTCACTTGCTGAAAATTTGGACATCTCGCCACAAAGTCCGCTACATTTCTCTTCATATCATTCCACCAATAGATTTCCTCAAGATCATGATACATTTTCGTAGAGCCCGGGTGGATAGAATACCTAGAAGTGTGAGCATCGGTCATGATTCTCTCCCGGAGACTATCTACATTTGGAACACATAGACGCCCTTGGTACCTTAGTGTACCATCACCCACGCCAAGAGAAAAGGCCATGGTCTTATGTTTATGAATTTCCTTTTTCAATTGTGCCAACAAATGAATCGTTGTATTGCTTCTCCTTGACTTCCATAATAAGTGATGATTCAGCCCTATTTTGCACAATCACCCCTCCTTCACTAGAGTCCGCAAGACGAACTCCCAAACTAGCTAATTGGTGAACTTCCTTGGCCAATGGCCTTTGATATGCCTCCAAGTGTGCTAAACTTCTCATAAATTTCCAGCTAAGAGCATCCGCCACAACATTAGCCTTCCCCCAATGATACAAAATATCGATGTCGTAATCCTTAAGTAATTCAAGCCNCCTGCCTCAGATTCAATTCCTTCTGCTTGAAAATATATTGAAGGCTCTTATGGTCCGTGAATATATCCACATGGACCCCATATAAATAATGACGCCAANNCACCCTCTGGTAAGCTCAACACCGGTGTCGTAGTCAATATTGCTTTCAATTCCTCAAAACTCCTTTCACAAGCAACTGACCATTGGAACTTAATTGCCTTCTACGTCAACTTAGTCAATGGAGAGGCAAGATTAGAAAACCCCTCCCCAAACTTCCTGTAATAACCCGCTAAGCCTAAGAAACTGCGAATCTCTGTTGGGGTTGTAAGCCTTGGCCAATTCTTCACAACTGTAATTTTCTGAGGATCAACCTCAATTCCTTCTTTGGAGACGACATGACCCAAAAATGTAACAGATTCAAGCCAAAATTCAAATTTTGAAAATTTTGCATACAACTGGTGCTGATAGAGAGTCTGCAAAAATACCCTGAGATGATAGGCATGGTCCTCCCGACTTCGTGAATAAACAAGAATATCGTCAATTAACACTATCAAGAAGGAGTCGAGGAAAGGTTTGAATAAGATCTAAGAAAGCTGCGGGGGCATTTGTTAGCCCGAAAGACATTACCAGAAATTCAAAGTGCCCCTACCGGGTCCTGAAAGCTGTTTTCGGAATATCCTGCTCCCTAATCTTCAATTGGTGATACCCGGATCGTAAATCAATTTTGAAGAAGTACTTAGCAACTTGCAATTGGTCAAACAAGTCATCTATCCTTGGCAGTGGGTACTTATTCTTGATCGTGACCTTGTTGAGCCGTCGATAGTCAATACACATTTTCACTGACCCATCTTTCTTCCTTACAAAAAGGACCGGTGCGCCCCAAGGCAATACACTCGGCTAGATGAAACCCTTTTCTAACAGGTCCTTCAGCTGCTCATTTAGTTCTTTCAATTCCGTTGGTGCCATTCTGTAGGGTGGAATAGATATAGGATGCGTGCCTGGCATCACATCAATCCCAAAATCAATCTCCCTATCTGGTGGGATCCCAGGGAGCTCATCCGGAAAGACTCCCGGAAATTCATTCACGACAGGCATGGACTCAAGTGTAGGTGCCTCAGCGTCAGTGTCCGTAACCCGGACCAAATGGTAAATACACCCCTTGTTGATCATTTTTGTGGCCTTAAGGTAAGAAATAAACCTACCTTTCGGCACTACATCATCACCCTTCCACTCAATAACTGGCTAATTTGGAAATTCGAACCTAACAGTCCCGGTTCGGCAATCAAGCTTGGCAAAACAAGAATAAAGCCAGTCCATCCCTATTATTACATCAAAATTTACCATCCCTAATTCAATGAGATCGGCCATGGTGTCCCGACAACGCAAAGTGACAACACAATCCCTATTAACCCGCGCGGCCAAAAATAGACTCACCAACCAGTGTAGATACAGAGCACGGATCATGACGTTGTTCCGCTTCTATCCCAAATTCCATAGCAACATAAGGAGTGGCATATGACAAAGTGGAAACGGGATCAATAAGAGAATATACATCATGGGATTGGACAGACAATATACCTGTGACAACATCTGGAGAAGCCTCTGAATCCCGACGCCTCCGCATAGCATAAAATCTGCTGGGTCCTCCTGAATTATATGCACCACCCCTAGCTGCACCACGCCCTACGGGTGCTGGGGTGCCTCAAGCTGGAGGTGTTGTGGATGTAGTAGCTGCAGAATTAGCTGGCTGCACTGCACCTCTGCCCATGTTTCGGCAGGCCGAGCGGCAATCCCTCTGAATGTGACCCCTCACACCGCACATATAGCATATAGGTAGGTCCATGAAGCAAGCCCTCAAGTGCATCCTCCCATACTTAGGGCATGGGAGCCCACGCTGCTGAAAACTTCTGTCGGGCCGACCTTGCTGGTGGGGTCCCCTGTTGCCCTGACTGGGTACAAATGACTGTGCACTCATCGAAGACTGAGAGAATGATTGAGATGGTCTTAATGACCCTCCCATGAATGCCGACCTACCACCACCACCCCCGGAAGAACCACCAGAGTTGCCCGCGGATCGGGCCTTGCTACTACTCTGACACTCCATTCTATTCTTCAATTTGTGGGTCTCTGTGGCTTGAGCAAATGCCACCATCTTACCATAGTTCATATCGAAATTCAAGGCATTTGTAGCGACCTCATTAATAACCAAGGAGCTAAGGCCATGTACAAACCGGCGCACTCTAGCCTCCATAGTGGGCAACATGTGAATAGCATA